ACGCCGCTCGGCGATACCTCGGCCGCCCACCACGCCGAACCCGAAAGACCGAGCGAGCACCGCCTTCTCTGCGGCTCTCTTCACGCCGAGTCTGCCCGGGTTAAACCCGTACCTCACCTGCCGACGGGGAGGCGCCCACACTCCCGGGTCACACGCTCCGCAGAACTTTTGTCATCCACGCCCTCCCCCGTCCCACGGGCCGACAACAGCAGCAGCAGCAGCAGACTCACTCCTTCCGACGTCACGCATGCTGAGCCTGACGCTGCCGCGCACTTCGGTCCCATTGGCTCGCTAGCGGGCCGAGGGCGGCATTAGCATATCGCCACGACGACAGCCCAAGCCTGTTCCCGCCTTCTACGAGGAAGGGTTGCTTCTCGCAATCAAGTCGGCTCTGCCCCCCCCCCCCGCCACAGCTCCCCCGATGTTCCTCCGGGACCGGGGCTTCTTCTTTCACCAGAGCGGCGTTCTGGAGCCTGTGCGTGCGTGCGCGTGTCACAGGGCTCTCTGAGGGAGGAGAGATTGCTCAACCAGGGTTAAGAGACGCGCTCGGCTCTTTCCTGAAGCATAATCGGTTCCGCACAATTGTCGCGGGCAAATGAAGCAGGCAGTCCCCGACGAGCCAGCTGGGTTAAAAGTAGTGCAAAAGGAGTCTTCGGAATTTAAGTTGGCAACTTCGGGACCTGCAGCTATTTACGGGGCAGAGAGAGTAATTTTTCAAGTCGGCTTGTCATTTTTATTGCAGTAATTTACAACAATCACCCCGAAATAAAGAGTTCCCTAGATACAGTTGTCTACACCAGGGCTTTTCAACCTTTTCACCGATTGTACCACTTTTAGACTATGGCAACATTCGAGTACCACCAGTCACCCAGCAAGGTGTCAAAAGCTTGATGACAAAAAAAAATAAATGGAAAAATGTGATAAAGTACAGGTAGTCCTCAACTTACAACAGTTTGCTTGGTGACTGTTCAAAGTTACAACGGCACTGGAAAAAGTGACTTATGACCATTTTTCACACTTATGACCATTGCAGCATCCTTAGGGTCATGTGATTTACTTTCGGATGCTTGGCAACCGATTCTTATTTATGATGGTCACATTGTTCCAGGGTCATGTGATCACCTTTTGCAACCTTGTGACAAGCAAAGTTAGTGGGGAAACCAGATTCACTGAATAACCATGTTACTAATTTAATCTCTCTCCTTCTTTCTTTCTCTCTCCCTTTCTCTTTCCTTCTCTCCCTTTCTTTCTCCCTCCGTCTCTTTCTCTCTCCCTTTCTCTCCGTCTCCCTTTCTTTTTCTCTCTCCTTCTCTCTCCCTCCTTCTCTCCCTCTGTCTCCCTCTTTCTCTCTCCCTCTTTCTCTCTCTCCCTCTCTCTCCCTCTCTCTATTTCTCTTTCCATCTTTCTCTCCCTCTCTCTATTTCTCTCTCCCTCTCAAAGATCCTTAAAATCCTTAAAAGTTATGCTTGGGCGGAAGACTTTTTCTTTTACAGATGGGGCGGGTGGGCCCGACATTCGTGGGCAGGCAGGACCCCGCCCGCCAAGTCGCCACCTCCCCATCGCCCTCCGCCAGCCGGCTCCATCACCAGACCTCCCAGCTGACAAGCACAGGAGTTCGGTGCTGCAGCGGCCTCCCCTTCGCCCTCCGCACCAGCCAAAGCGTTGCCGGACATTCCAGCTGACGGGCGCAGGTCGGAGTGAGGGGGAGGAAGGCGACGCCCTGGGGGGTGGCGGGGGGGAGGAAGGCAACGCCACGTACCACCAGCCAGGTGGTCGTACGTGTACCACCGGTTGACAAGCCCTGGTCTACACAATTCCCATCACCAGGAATTTGGGAAGATAAAGCCAAAGAGATTTAAAATTTCGGAGGAAAAAAAATCACACCTAATAGCAGTTTATTGCAGTGACATTTTCAACTGTTATTGATTTTTTCCTCTTGTGCTGTGTAAATACGGGTTTTTAGTTATTTTGAAAACGTGATTTTTTAAATTTAGCCTCCACCACCCAGGTCCTCCGTAGATGTTTTACTTGACATTTCCCATGCATTAGCTGCAAGTCCCTGCAGTTTTCTTGACAAGATTTTCAGAAGTGGGTTGCCATTGTCTCCTTCCTATGGCTGAGAGAGAGTGATTGGCCCAGGGTCACCCAGCTTAATAAAAGGTCTGGATATTCTTAAATTATTCTAGACTCCAGAATGTAGCTTGGTAACTGGGGTAGTGATTGATAATAGTTTACAGTCCTGAATTTAAAAAGAATTGTTAGCCTAAATTGGATTTAATAAAGCTTCCTTGGGATGCAGTTTTACTGTACTTCAATTATGTGAAATAGAATTAGCAATTGTGCTCTACTACAAAACCAGTTTATGTCTCTCAGATTCTGCCCAAATAGAAAAAAAAATTCTGAATTATTCCTTTAAAAACCTTGGAAATAAAATGACTTAAACCAATTTAACCACATACATAAGCAACTAAAATCCTGTAATTAGCCTTCACAAATTAGCTTGTCATATTTTTCACACACCCATCTGCTGAAATTCTGTAGTAGCAGTAGCTAGTGAGAAAGTTTCTTTATGGAACATTAGTTCTTCGGAAAATTCCCCTGGTCCTCAGTTTTCTTTTCTTTTCTGGTCACAGGCACAAAAGTTTCTTAAAAAATGAGTTGAGTTTTACTTTATGGGAATATTTTTGCTCTTTGTTGCATGTTGTTTTAAACACCTTACTGGCCACTTTGAGAACTATACTAATATGCAAGGATGCAGTATTTTTTCTTAAATAACTAATCACAAACTGGGATTTGAAAGAAAATACTGCATACCAGTAGGTGTAGGAGGTACACTTGGCTACTACCCAGGTTATATTGACCATAGCACACATGAGCAGCCTGCAGTAATGTGACTGCATATCAGAATTAGAATTAGAATTAGTCCAGCCCTCTGATCAAGCAGGAGATCCTATACCATTTCAGACAAGTGGCTGTCCAGTTTCTTCTTAAAAACATCCAGTGATGAAGCACCCACAACATCTGAAAGCAAGCTATTCCACTGGTTAATTGTCCTCAATGTTAGGAAGTTTCTTCTTAATTCCAGGTTGCTTCTCTCCTTGATTAGTTTCTATCCACTGTTTCTTGTCTTGTCTTCTGGTGCTTTAGAAAATAAATTGACCCCTCTTCTTTGTGGCAGCCCCTCAAATACTGGAATACTGCTATCATGTCCCCCCTAATCTTCTTTTCTCTAGACTGGCCATACCCAAATTCTGCAACTGTTTTTCATATGTTTTAGTCTCCAGGCCTTTATTCATCTTAGTTGCTCTTTGCACTTTTTCCAAAGTCTCAACGTCTTTTTTTGTAATGTGGTGACCAAAACTGGATGCAATATTCCATATGTGGCCTTACTAAGGCTTTATAAAGTACTAATACTTCACAATATCACATCAAACTCTTTTGTGGACCCCAGACTCTTTTACAGCATGGTGTAGTAATTGCTATATGACTAAACCAAAATTATTCAGACAATAACAAATATATTTCACAATTTCCTGTTTTTAAATATAAAACATATATTTGTGTTTTCTAACTCTTGAAATAGATTACATATTAAAATAACCTTCCAAATACTTACCTTCCCAAACCAAAGAAAATTCCTGTCAAATGAAGCACTATCTCCCACTTTGTATCATCATCTCTCCCATTGTACATCATTATTCTACCCACTACAGTCCTTGTTCCCCCAAAACACATTTTGTCTCATCAAAAAGTTAATCACTCCTGGTTTATAGAATTTGATATGGTAATCTGTAATTAAGCTTCTATTCCAATAATGTTTTTCTCCACTACATTTGACTTAATTTATCTATTGAAATTTTGAATAACACTAGCTATATTCACATAACATACTAACCGAAACATAATTTACTGAATTAATCCAACTGTTTAGGTAAATATTCTCTGGATTCACAAAACACATTAAGCATGAATTAGCCAATATTTTAGCCTAGCCATTGAGAAGCTTAACAAGCGAGCAAAATTTCAGCTACCAAAGCAATATCAGAAACCTTGCAATTGAAAGATGCTATAGGAAAGAGGACAGACTTCTGCCAGACTCCACATATTTGTAACATGGAGATATTATATAGAAAGGAAAATTAAGCAGAAGAGACTAAACAGCAATTACCACACATTTTGAATTATTTGAGAGGGACAAACACAAAAAGAGAGACCTAAAATGCTGCAAAATTCAATTCACCGTTGTATGATATATTAGCAACCATTTCATCATCATCATCATCACAATTACCTGTAATGAGCAGACTCATTTCTCAATCATTTCTCAATCTATTTTATACCAAGTTAAAGTAGGGTTATCCTTGCACTTATAAAGTTAATATGCTGAGGGGAACATTAAATCAGAAATTGTCTTTCCTATAATTTACCGTGTGAAAGTTTTTCTCCCTAAAAATGGAAAGTATTTACCATTTCACCTATAGTAGATACTAAGTCTACATTTATGAGGTACAATACTTCCCTTTTCTTCATTTTCTTCTTATATGGGTGATGAACTCCTATCAAAATCCTAACCAGATCAGACTCTCGTCTTTGTAAAATCAGCCCAAAACAGCTAGCTGCTGCCACCTAATGTGACCATTTCAGAGTATAATTACTTCTACTTCTCTGAAACAATTTCAGAGTTGATAGATGTATATCAAGTCATCATTACTCATAGGATATACATAGTATCTGTCCTGATTCAAAACATTTTATAATATTTTCATCATGCTTCAAATCCTTGCTTGATAAGAGCAATAAAGGAACAATGTAAAAGAGGATATCTTGCTATAAGCAACAGTGGCCTCACCACTTTTTTAAAGATACTCTCTGAAACTTTCTCCATTACATGACAATGGAATAAGATTGTGTTTATTTTGTATTTTACTTTCCAGATTGTTGTGATTTAGTTAAATACGAAGAATCTGAAATTTTAAAATGGGAATAGAATTTTATCTTTACACATAGTAACAATGTTATAAGATCTGGCTTTGCATTGCCTGCTGTCTTTCAAAATAATTCTTAGCTGGCACTTAAGATTCATTTTTCTCAATATTAGCTATGGAAACTTAAACAAGGTGGAGCCACTTATCAAGGAAAACAGTGGCCTCTCCTCTTCAGGCTGGAAAGTCACTTGTTAGGATGTTTTAATTTGGAACTGCAGCTGAAATATTCAGCTTAAAAGTTTATATTATATAGTGCAATACATCAGCAGCGTAATGAAACCAAACATCAAATTTCTTTCTTTGTCACCTTTTCTATTAAATGCTGATTTGTCTCATTAACATTAGGAACATAACATTTTCAACAATCATTGCATAAACTCTGGTTGTTTCCTTTCAAGTTACTAATACAAGGTTCGTTAAATGACACAGTTAACTAATGACACTGCCAAAAAGAAAAGACTCAATTTTTATAACACAGTTCAATTGTTCAGACAATATATTTTACAATTATTTTTTTCTAGAGAGAATGACAGAATTCTTGGCATATTACAGCAGTAGTTATTGTGGCCACCAACTGATAGAACTTTTAATACCATAATATGATACAGAATTACCAGAACTCTTCTTCATCTGCTGAGACCAAATAGAGTATGCTTTGGGGAAACCGTAATCCCATATTTAAATCATACTTTTTCAATATGTATGTGTAGAACTTCAGGGTCAACACTAGCATACAAATCGAACTACCAGGATATTGTGTGGCTTAACTGCAGAGAACATCACAATTCTTCTCTATACAATCTTTACATATGTTCAGTATTTATAAACTATAATAATCATTAAGCTGCCATGACACTTATTTTCTGGTCCCTAAATTTCAATTCAGTGGAATTATTTTTCTTCTGAAGTTAAACAAGGGACTTCTGAGCCAGGATTATCTTTTTCTGACATCTGCATCTGCTTCTCTGTCTCTCCATTTATGTTTTCTTTGCTCCCATTCTTCACAACATCAGATTTCTTTTTTTCCAGATTTTGTTTCAATTTGAAAGATGACTCTCTTTTGGACAGGATTGCAGGATTAAAGCCAGGGAATCCTCCACTAGCCATAGTACGCTTTTCTATAAACCAGAAAAGAAAAGCACACGGCAAATTAATTTTTATTTTCAGAAGTTAAGGGACAAATTACTAGGCATATGCCCATCACTGTTACCACAGGTATACAGAATGCATGTGTTTTAGAAATTATAAACTGCCTCTCTTGAAGCAGAATTTAGCAATGGTAGGAAATAATAGCAAAGAACATACAAACAAATGGAATATTCCAGATTGCTGGACGCCAACCTGGATATCTGTTCTCTTGTAGAAGAACAAATAATCTTTAAAACAATTGTGGTCATAAATTCTGGAGGAAGATCAAACACAAACACAATGTCTATTCAAAAAGCGCAAGATTATTCCTTGGCAGCCAGATAATTATAAATTTGTGTGTGCTTAACTTGCAAGCCTGAAACAAGGCATCTGGCTACAGTTGTATAATTTGCTTCATAGCTGAATACTTCTGCCCTCATACCTCCTGGAGCAATGGGATGCATCAGTCGGTTCATCTGAACATTCCAGTGCTTTACATTGGTGCTGGCTTGCTGGAGCTTCTGCTGGGCTATCTGCAATGGAAGAGGAAAAAAAGAGACCTGGTTGCTATCTCTGTTTAAAATCTGTGTAATTTCTAGGTAATCAAAGTGGTAAACACCTAATGAATTATAAATCAACTGAATGCAGTCATCACACCTACTGGGAAAAAAAGTTATTATATCTAGCAGCAAAAATACAATTTAGCAGAAAACAATACTGTTATCAAGGAATTTACTAAGGAGAAAACTACACCCCTACCATCAGGGCAAGCTGCTATATATAAACCGGGAGTAAACCCCACACTCACTCACACTGATGATGTTACCTAGTTGGGTAATGAAATGTCTGCAAGTAAACAAAAGCAACAAGGATTCCACAGTAAAACCCTGAACTATATATGTTTTCTTCTACTGAAAAATGAAAGTGGCCTAGAATGTTACATGAAGACATAATTAATCAATTAAGAGCATTTTCTGTAATCACTTCTGGCTAACAGGAAAAGGACTGAAAAAGCTGAAATTGTAGGAATTTCTTGAGGCAACATGTTATAAGTGCCAGCATTATATCAAAAAAAGGCTGCCTCCTTGAAAGATCATCGCAAACTCTGGGATACAATTCTCAGGTTTTTTCAGACGAGATTTTATAAAAAATTGTATTACAGAATTTCACCGGAGACAAATAGTTATCAGCTAATTGTAATATCTTGTTATTTTATTATTTCTTCTCTAGGTTTTTTTTTAAAATATAGAATACTATTAAGAAGGGAAACAGAGAAAGAGCAGGACTCCCTGTTTTGCAATTTGTAGATAGAAAATGACCCATTAAGGCACAGGGAGAATTGTCCTGAGGGAAGTGGTCATGGCAAAGAGCAAAGCACTCTGTTTCTTTCTCACATTTTTTTTAACCTTGAAATATTTTCTTAACAAAGATATTTAAGTAGATATGTACAAAACAATCCATGCAGAGAACAGCTAGCTTTGAATGGTCCATGAATAGACATGTTTAATCCAGGCACAACTCTGAAACATGCATACTTTGGGAGAAGCATTTCAGAGGGAGGGGGATAGTGGGAAAAATCCAAGGACACTGGTTGCTAGGATGAAATAAAAAAGGAGAGTGTTGGGAAGATTAGGGAAGAGGCAGGGCAGACTGTTGGAGCCAAAGACTATTTACTTACAGCAAAAAGTTTGATGTCTCTTGAATCACCAGACTCTGAAAGGGCTTACAAACAATATGAAATAGGTAACAATACAATAAACAACAAATTAACATGATCAGTATATAAACAAAATATCATCGCCAATAAACAACTATAGTATTATAAATTCATGATGTCTCTAACATCGAACAGGATTCATCCCAAACTCAGGTACCTTTACCCATTCTTGCTTCAGTTGCCAAATGCATTATAAAAAAACATGTTTTTTAAAGCTTTTGGAATGTTAGAAGTGAGGGCATGTTTCTTATGCTTCTAATGGCGGACATTCCACAGGTTAGGACAGTGGTGGCAAACCTATGGCACGCGTGCCAGAGGCGGCACTTGGAGCCCTCTCTGTGGGCACGCGCGCCATGCCCCAGAGATGGCAACCGTCCCTCTTCAACCAGCCGCCCACTAACTCGCCGAGGTCCCACGTGGCCGGATGCATCTCAGCATGGCTGGTTTCCCTCCCCCCTGTCCCATCCCTCCTGGCCTCGCATGCTCTCCTTTTCCCGGGCACAACCCACTGCATTGCCTCCTCAGCTGTCGGCCATCTGTCCAGCTCAGAGGCGGCTTCTCTGAACTTCTGGTGGTGGGCTGCGGAGCCCCAGAGTGTGCCGGTCTAGGGGCCGGCAGGCTGTGGCTGCTGATGGACACTGTTGGCCCCCATGCGCTCGCTGGCCTCTGTGTGCGGGGGCCAATGGTGTCAGGCAGTAGCCACCCCAGCCCCTGCCTCACCTCACCCCGCAGGACGAGCCTCCTGCCCACTGCCCCACCTGCCAGAGACCCCCTGGATCTCCCCGAACCCTGCCCGGCCCCCACAGGCATCCCTCCCCATGAACAACATCGAGGTAATCATGCCCACCTTGGCCACACCCACCCAGTCTGCCATGACCACCACAGCCACACCCACCCAGTGGGCCACGCCCACCTGGCACCTGGTGATAAATAAGTGGGTTTTGGGTTGCAGTTTGGGCACTCGGTCTCTAAAAGGTTTGCCATCACTGGGTTAGGAGTATCTGCAGAGAGGGTTCACCTTTGTCTCCTTTGGTCAAACCTCATGAGGAATGGAATTCTCATCAAGCACCCTCTATGGCTGGGAAATTCTGGCAGTTGAAGTCCGTACCTTTTCAAGCTGCCAAGGTTGAGAAATACTACTCTACTGACATAATTTGGGCAGGCAAATTCTATTTAAAGCAAGCAATTTCGAAACTGAAACTTTAAAGCTGATCACCAGCCCCTCAACGTGTAATAAAATCAAAATCAGGAAAATTAAAAGTAGGGTTGTGTTGAGCTCTGATGAGTTTTTTTTTTATTCACACAGTGAAGCCAAGATGGTGAGATCAGATGATATAAGTAACCAGCTGTAGATAGCCGGGGAGACAGCCTTGAAGCAAATAATCAGAAATCATTATGTAAATAAACAGGAATGAAGCATTCTTTAAATTCTGGGAAAGCTGGTAGTATTAAGAAGAGACTCTAAGACTCCTTCCTGATTCACTGGAGATGGAGGGATGCAGAAGTACAGCAGACCTGCAAGATTCTATTAGTATAGCCCTGTTTCAATAAAGTATAGTTCTAATCATCCTGTGGAGTGTGGGTCTCATCTGGGTCTCTCTTGAAGGGCTGACACTAGATCAGGTTACCCATTTTGGATCAGCATTAGGAAAAATCTGATCTTCTGCCTCAATTTGCAGCCACATTTACAGTATCTGTAAGTATGCTTCGCTACAGTTCTTTAATTCTATGCAGCAGACACTATTGAAAATGCAAAGAAATCTGAAACTATTCTTGAATGGAATAATGCAACCTTTTCAAGCGATGGGCACAATTTCCCAGTTTCATGCTCTGTAAGCCCTAAAACACAAATGTTAAAATTAAAATGACTTTTAAATAATTATTTTCAATTTTAAAAACTAAATGGCCAAATCTGTTTAAGAGGATGATTTTTTTTTTAAGATTTCTGATTTCCTGAGATCTTGGCATATTATTATTTTTATTTTTTTTTAAAGCAGAATAACAGGTTAGTGCATGCCATCTAGTGGCATAATACTGTCAATTCATAGTGAGATTAAAGTAAAATCACCTTCCATGATTAGAGCTCAACTCCTGATGATTAACATGAACGCATCCATGCATATTTTTTGGCATAATAGGAGGCAGTTTGACTGTAATCTTTTTCTGGAACATTTGTTTCTGACTTCTCAGTTTATCCCTTGCCCCTCTCAAAAAAAACCCTGTACTTTAAAATATTTAGTTATGCAAATAAATAAAAAATATTTGTAGTAATGCTGCTTGAAAGTACCAAGGAAGTAGTGGATTCCATGGTGTGGCTAGAAAAATAGCAGAATTTAGTAGATTTGTAAGCAATGATTCCAATAGTTTCACTAAATCAATTCAATGAATATTAATCTTACTGAATCAATTAAAACTTCTACAATACTTTTAAATTGCAGATTTTAAATATATGAATCAACATGGATCATTCCAACTGACAACTGAATCAATGTGACAACTATTTACAAAGTTTGGTTTTGAAATTCCTGTCTGTTCATTCAATTACAGTGGAGCTATGCATCTGAGATCATCTTTTCTATAGTGTATTTGCTCTCTGCCCGGGGACTCTTTAGCTTAGATTGCATAAATTAATTGACAGTAATTTAATGCTTAAAAATAAAAATAATAATAAAATAACATATTTTAAAATAAAATAAAATATTTAAATATTTTAAAAAATAAATATTATTTATTATAAAGAAGAGGAATTAATCTTGCTTTAAGTAGGCCTTTTGGTCCTTTTAATAGCATAATAAAACCAGCAACAGCATTTGTAAGATCACTCAGATTTACACTTTACAAGTGTAAAATCTAAGAGTATTTTGATATCGGTGGTAATCTCATTTTTTTCAATATTGAGCAAAGTTTTTTTAATGGGAACGTTAGTTACAGTAATATAAAATGACATGGAAGGTCTGCCTTTATTTGTTTGTTTGTTTATTTGTTTTCTACACATCCCATCTCACCTAAATGACTCTGGACGGCTTACAGCTTGTAATAAAATCACATAAATACATGAATAAAAGCACAAATTAAAAACAGAATTAATACTTCCAAATAGAGATAAAGATCAATTTACAAAATTCAAAAGTCTACGAGGTTAACAAGGGAATGGGAGTGTCCTTAGGCCGCCAGCCACCCTTAAGGCTGCATCATACTTTTAGACCTCCATGCTTACATCTTAACACTCTTCTGGAAAATCAGAAGAGTTGAGGCTTGCCTCACCACTGGGAATAACATGTTTCACAGGGCAGGGCTCCCCATCCCCCGTGTCATGGATCAGTATGGGTCGTGTCCTGTTAGGAACCAGGCCACACCGCTGGAGATGAGCTATGAGCGAGCAAAACTGTGTGTGCATGGGATCTAGGTTGCATGCTCCTCCCCCCCCAGTCTGTGGAAAAATTGTCTTCAATGAAAGCGGTCTCTGGTGTCAAAAAGGTTGGGGATTGCTGCCATAGGGTATGAAATAAGGATAAAAACCCTTGGCATTAATAAAAACTCTTCAAAAGAGGAAAAAACAGGCACAGCTCCAATGCTTACCATAACATCTTGGTCCATCCTTTCCCTATTAAATCTGACTTCTTCTAGCTGCAGTTTAGTTTCTTCCAGAAACTTGCTCTTGTTTTCCATCTCTTGCTTGAGAGCCAGTTTTTCATGTTGAGCCTTGATAATATATTCTTCCTGTTCTTCCTTCAGTTTCATCAACTGCTTCAGTTTTTCCTCCTCCTCTGCCAGCAATCTAACAAAATTACACAGGATTTAATTCCTTCTCATTCTGCGAGTGATTTAGCATCAAAAGTTTGGATTAGTCCTATGATTCATAACCAACCCATAACACTGTGAAAGAAATTAGTAATTCTGCTCTGCAAAAGGAACAGATTGCCTCCTCTCTGGGAACTGTCACTTATGGCATCATAAAGTGAGGGAGAAGGAATTTGCTGAGAATTCTCATTATAAGGAATTCACATCTGCTTCTTCTCTTCTCTGGCCTTTCTCTGTATCATCTTGCGCCATTTCTATTCTGCTTATTTCAAATGAGCAGTTTCTCTGTGGTGGTAGATACCCATGTTTACACCCTAGCATTTGAGAGATGCCCATGTTTTAGCACTCCTGAGGACCCACCTTTTCATTCAGGCTTTTCCTGTGAAAAGTAGCTTACTCTCATCTTATGTTTTTCTTACATATCTTTTACACTTAATGTTTTTTATTCATTACCATTTCATTTGCTAATATTTCAATGCTTTTTCTTCACTTTAATTATGTATATAACTATACATAATTATATACTGCCTTTGAGATATTTCAAAGTAGGAATGTTGTAGAAATAGATTCAATACATAAATATTCAGAATTATGTCATTAAAATCATTTGTCTTTTCTTATTCGCCTTTCTTATTAACCCAGTTCCTCCCAGAAGTCACAATACTGTATATCAGTGCTTTTAGAACTATTCAGGAAAGCAAATCTAGGCATTCAGCAATGCTACCTGGCCTGTTCGTATCTCACAGCCTCTTCGTCTTGACGAGCTTTAATCTCCTGCTGCAGGGCATCTTGGAGTCGTTGCTGCATGTCTTCCAGTTCCACGATGCGCTTGCGCTGACGTTCCGCCTCTGCCTCCTTCAGAACCATCTCTGCTTGCATGGAAGCCCGAGCCTTGCAGGTGGGTAAAGTAAATGCAGTGAGGAGCCAGACTATAGCCCTGCTAACAGCAGGGGGCAGTTACTTAAATGCAGCCTTGTCCTCAGCAGTAGCTGGTGAAGTTGGTCACTGGTTTTATCTGGACACCAACAATTGTATTATTTTCCATATGTAACCCTCCCCCAATTAACCTTCCACATTTTAGATTATTAGATTATAACGATGGGTGGAGATGATGAGAAGGCAGATATAAGTCACTAATGATGATATGTATATAAAAAAATATAAACAGGTCATGGTTCCAAATATATCATTTGGTGCAAAACTTATTGAAATGTTATGACTTATCAAACTGTACTATCAAGTCCGTGTTAACTCTTAAAGATTATGTTAGTTACATCTTCTGCAGGAATTGTTTTAGAACAGTTATAAGACAATTAACTCATTGAAATCAGTGAAAGTGTTCAAACAAACCATTAAAAACAGCAACTGATAAGTTCATAAGAACGCTTAGGTGAGTAAGTAGGTTTCTAAAGCTGAGTGTAAACAGTCCACAATGGGGCACAACTTAAAATCTATTGGAAGTTTATTCTACAAGAGAATGGCCACCTATACTCAACAACTGATTCAATATTAGCATTCAGGAGAACCATTAGCAGGATTTCTTCTTACAGTGAAAAGGCCTAAGAAACCTACATGGAAATTAGGGGTTCCTTAATATAATATTTTCATGATCTGTTTAGGCCTAACAAACAGCAATACATCCTTGAAAATGATTGAGCAGCAAATCAGCTACTAGCGCACAATCTTCAGTTTTTGGTGCCCAGTAAGAGACTCTGCTGAATCACAGATTTCTGTTATAGCTGCAACCTCTTTAAAGCCACAAGGCAAACCCATATATTGCCCTTTGCAGTAACTGAATTTAGACTTCTTGTAGCAGAGTTATCTTTGTCCAAGAGAATCTGTAATAGTAAGACCAGTCAAAGCTGATGGATGATGCTCTTATTCATTGAGGTTCCTGGAACCTCCAGTGTTAAAGCTGAATCTATATGCCTATTTGTGCAAAACAGGTAAATCACTCAATCCTAGAACAAAGAACCTTAATTAATTGTTAGATTTATAGCACACTTTTCCTCTGGAAGATCAATAGAGCTTATATTGCATTATTTCCTCCGTTTTTTGTTTCCCAAACCAGCAATCCTTTGTGGTAGGTTGAATGAGAGCAAGTGACTTCTTAGTCCCACACTTAGACTATACTAGGCTATGCTATGCTGGCATTTAAGATTTTTGCATTACCTTTTTTGGCAGACAGAGGTCACTGTTATCCTAAATTGGATGGCATGAGTCTTCTACAAATGCAACATTCTTTTCTGCTACTGTTCATTTCATACAAAGGCAGAATACTACCTGATGTACTAAAAATTAGAGCTTTGTCTGCATTAAAAATGTCAAGAGTATGCCACAAATAACAGGGAGTAGAAAGCTCCTGGCAGGTCCATATTTATAGTGAACTTATTCATGAAGGCAAGCAGTTTATCTTGTTATTAAGAAGCTTGTTACAACCTGTACAGTGTAACCCATAAATATTTAGTCTGCTTCCTTAGGCCTACATAAGAAACTGACTGAGGTTGTATATCCTCCTTCACCACATTCTGTGTGGTCATACAGCATACTTGCCCATTACTTCCCCCCCCTCTTGTTTACTCTTGATCTGTTAACCTGCCCGTAGCTATTTAGGGATATCATAAGAAAACCACGCTTAGAGTTATTAGGCAATGAAATGATGGTGCTCAACTTTAGTTAAGTGAGGCAAACTTGCATTACTTTCTGCATTTCAAATAGATGGATTCTAACTGAACCAGAAAGTTTACTCTAAACGCCCCAAAAACTTGTTTTACATGAAAAAAAAAGCCAAGGAACTGAGCAAACCACTCAAAAATGGCATCATATTTGAATCATTTCTATTGCATTGATTGATATAATATCTTTAACAGGCTCTGGCTCTCCCAGGGCCTGCTTTGAGCGTGCACACCTGTTCTGCTTCCTGAAGCTGAATTTCCAACATCTTCTGCATCTCCTCGTGTTGCTGCTGGCGCCGTTGCTCTTCTTCATGGAGTAAAAGTTCTGCTTGCTTCTGGGCCTCTTTGAGCAGCTCCAGTTCCTGCAGCTTGCGCTCCTTTTCTTCCTGCAGCTGCTTCAGGCGTTGCATCTCCTCTTCCTTGGCAGCCTTCTTTCGGTCTCGCTGCTCCCGCTGCTCCCTCCTCTTCTGCTTTAAGTCCTTGTGCAGAGACTTCTTACCTTCTGCTTGGAGACGGATGGCCATCTGGATGGCTGCCAAGGGAACAGAAGCGTCAGTAGGGCCCCAACCCTTATATCCTGAGGCAAAAGGTGCTCCTTGAGTTCTCTGACTAAGAGAGCTCAAGGAGCACCTTTTTGCCTCAGGATATAAAATCAGTCAACCACAAGTGTTAGATCAATATGCTGCAATTTGCCAAAACAGATTCCAGAGCAGCAAAAGTGGCAGCTGTGAATAGACAAGCTTACACAACTCAGTGTAGTTTGGGAAACATTTCTTTTCTTTTAGTTTGCATTAATTTTTTATTGTCGTAACTGCTTTCAATAGAATTGCTGTAGTTTTGTTTAAATGATTTTGCCATTCTGCTGTGGAACAGTCTTCCCAAGGAAACTTTATTTCAAAGTAGCTGTACCCGGCCACGCGTTGCTGTGGCTCAGTCTGGTTAAATGGAAAAGAAAGAAAAGAGAAAGTGCACGTTTCTAATATATTTAATTTCACAATGCTTGTGGGTATACAATATTTTTTGTTGTTCCATTGTCTGTGCAGATATAGAGATTGTCTGGTTTGCCGACTCTAGAACACGCAACATATAATTGTCCATGTGAGAGGCAATCTGTGTCTAGATCTAAACCGCACAATTCTAAAGATTGGCCCTGAGCTTTGTTGATGGTGATTGCAAACGCCAATCGAATTGGGAATTGCAATCTCTTAAATTGAAATGGCATATCCGTTGGAATCATAGGAATGCGAGGAGGCGCTGTTTTTCAAAAAAAGCGTTTTTACTTGTCACAGGTGTGACATCTATATAATAGTAGGTATATAAAAACACGTGCGTATTCGAATGCAACGTTGTGTCAAAATTTCAAAGCAATCGGTGAAGAACTTTCGGAGATTTAAGATTTTGAACAAACGAACATTTACATTTTTATTTATATAGATTGAGGCAAAAAAAACCTTACTTCATACTTGTTTAATTTGGGGTCTCCACAGGGATCTCTATAAAGATCACCCAAAGAACATGGTTAAAAGAACCTGCATTCAAATCCGAAACTAGTTCCAACACTGCCATTAAATCTAAAAGCGCAGATGCTTTTAACCTTTGGTAAGAATACTAGTAATCTGATTTAGTTCAGTCATGCTCTACAAGAAGATGGCCAGTCCATAAAGAAATCTGCCTAAAAAATGACAGACTTGCTATTAAAGCAGTCCAACTTCTTCCTCTCAGATCCTCTCAAGAAAGAACCGTGATGCAGCAATGCAAAGCACTATGAGAATACTCACCCAGTGTCCACTCCTGCCTTTGCTTGGTATCTGAGGCACTCATTTCATAGGTTCGTGAAGATGTTTTCACACAGAACATGCAACGTTTCCCATCTTTATCAGGCAAAATCTTTGAATCAGAAGAGAAGAGAAATTTAAAACTTAGCTATAATCTCAAGTGCAACAGTGGAGACTTCATTATTAATAAGCACAAAATCTGTTGCTTCCAACCTAGTTGAAGATGGCCCCCTTTCCTATGTCATCTCCCAAGTTAGGAACCACCACATTCCTATTACAATTTTATAGACAGGCTACATAAATAGCTTTTTTAGCTCATTGAGACAACTTTAAGCATATTAATATAACCATATTAATCTCCAAATGATTGAAGTGATATTCTTACCTATCACAGGAGTAGAATAATTGGGAAAACCTTACAAAACCTTACAAGTCAAATTCCTCTTTGAATACTCTTTTTTTTTCTAATGGAAAATTTGCCCCTCACTTCTTCACCTTTACATAAATAGACCCAAATCCATATTCAAATCCTAATTCTTTTCAATCTCTTAATTCTAGCCAGAATATGTGAAAGACATGACAAAGACAATAATAATGCTGATAAGCAAATAATTTCTTCAGAACTGAGAGTTAGGCAGAAATGCAAATAGTTTTAAGAATTTGGTGCGCGTGGGGGGATAGCCAAATTGGTTGGCTAAATTGCACAAACCCAGCATCTTAATCGCTGAGCCATGGCCAACTGGAATACATTTACATACTCTGTAAATGTTGATGTAATTGATAATCTAGATCACCTTAAAGGTTCTGAAGATCTAAACCAAACTGAAGAAAAAAAAATACCAAGCTGCATGAGATTTTGAGTTTGAGTCATTACTAGTACCTCTGCTGATGGGAAAAGGGAGTCACTACTTATTTTTTCCTTTCAGTAAAAGCAATTTCTATTTGGAGTAGAGTGGAAGAAAGCTGTTGTGGGGAGAAAGTTTGCGCTGTTTAGGGAACAAAATGTTTTCTATTTTTTAAACTCTTGAAAAGATAAATCTTGTACTTGTTAGAAATGTAAAACTAGTGGAAATTTACATTTTGGCTTTTACATATTGTATTGTCTTCAAGATCTGAGAATACCTGGAGAGCATCACATTTTTAAACCAGGCTTAAAGCTGGAAGAAAAAGCACCACTCCTCAGGAACCAATTATTTACTGGCATCAGGCTAACATACATTACTAATCTCTTAATAAAACAACATACTAGTGACCATTTCATAAAAGGCCAACATGCTCTTTTTGCAACAAAAAATATCTAATTACCTCCACACATGAATTTCTGTCCAAACAAATGCTCCCTTTCTTTTCTTTACGTTCTTCACTCACATAATATGAGAGATCACTGGGCTTCAGGGTGAACCATCGCTCACACCAGTTCCTTCTTAGGTGACCTTTCTTCCACAGATAGCCCTATAGTGGGAATGAAGAGGAAAAGCAGGCACATCATAATCAAAGATTTATACAAAAGCTCTTTACAAAAGACCATTTAACAAAAAAAAATGTCACAAAAAGAGGCCAAATCACATTCAGGCCACATCTACAGTATGGGCTGGCTGCAAACTATGCAATTTGACCCATTACCAAGCAACTATGTGGATACTACGCATCACATGTCAATGCAGGGCTTCTTAAGTAGTGCTTGTCCTATTCCATTGAGAAGCAAAATCCTTTAGTGGCAAATTGGATTGCAAAGAATTGAGCTGGTACCACATTTGAATATTCCTCTTTGTTAACCATTCTACATGAATAGAAAATCAACACAGTTGGCTGAAAGGTAAAACCAACCCTCACCTACTCACCTAGATTAATTTCCTTATGTTCTGACTTTTTATATAGAGGGCTATTCAGAACAGAGATCCACCACTTGTAGCCCAAATTGTTACAGTCTGTTCCACCACTTTATTTTTCTGTACAAGTAAGAACAGCCTATTTAACTATATTTCAGATATTTCAGCATACTGTATGTTGGAATAGAACAGCAAACCATCTAGGCAATCAATACCTTATAATAGTTCTGAAGTAATAAATGAAAGTGGAGAAAAAGAAACTATCACCACCTTGCATGAGATTTTGTGCTGCAGTCTTTGTTGCGTCTGTATGTGCCATAGACTGATTCTCCTCCACCCTGGTTTGCTCCTACTCATATGATCTGTGGCTGTCAGGAATGCTGACTCGCTTTCCTTCCTCTTTGTGCAGAGATGCTGGCAGCAAGGTGGAGGGTTGGTGATCTCAATCATCCCCAAATTAAAATCCTCAAATCAAAACTCAAAATCCACACCCTTTCATTTCAAGATATCTTAAACCATTGGGGATGGTCTTAGGGTTCAGTTACATGCACCAGATAAGCATTTTTGAGAACACGAGCAGGACCAAATGCAAAGCAGAACCCAGCTATGAACAAACTTTATTTCCTGATTGTGAGACAAACAGGAACAGATAACAGTGGTGTATCATGCCATTTAACTACAGGCACAATGGGGGAAGTATATATATGGCTAATTGAACAGTCAGAGTGATGCAATAACGGTCACAAAGGAAGAGTGTGAGCTTGCAAGCCAGCTCTGCCCTTCTCTTCAGTTGTGATTTTTTTTTCCTGCTGATAAGATGTAGGAGACTGCACATAATCAAGGCAGATTCACTGGTCTCTAACCAAGTAGGAGTTTTCACTTTTTTTTTTTTACAGGTAATTCTCAACTTACAACCACAATTGAGCCCCCAAATTTTTGTTGCTAAGGGACACCTTTGTTAAGTGAGTTTTGCCCCCATTTTACGTCCTTCCTTGCCACAGTTGTTCAATGAATCCCTGTTAGTTACACAGTTGTTAAGTGAATCTGGATTCCCCATTGATTTTGCTTGTCAGAAGGTCACAAAAGGGGATCACTTGAACCCGGGACACAGCAAACATCATAAATCTGAGTCAGTTGCCAAGTGTCTGAATGTTGATCATGTGATCATGAGGATGCTGCAAAAGTCATAAGTGTGAAAAACAGTCATAAATCACTTTTTTCAGTGCCGATGTAACTTGGAACAACCATTAAACAAACTGTTGTAAGTCAAGGACTGTCTGCACTTGCCAATATTTTTCTCCTCTCATTACTGTCATAAATTAGATAATATTTTCCATCTAATTAATCCAATTGATATTGTTATTCGATGGATAACCAGAATGCCCAGCAAATGCTCTCCTTGATAAGACAGTAAGGATTTTCCTAAAGAGAAAAGAGCTGCCACAGATCATAAGTTTTCATAATCCCAGCCAGACGCTTAACAGAAGCACATGGACGTGAGATAGCTTGGTGTCTCATTTTAAATCTCATAACACAGGAAATAAAGTAGTCATAATTGATTCAGTGCCTTCAGTGGCCTTACTCTTAACTTTCTACCTATTTTTTTAATCTATTTTTTTAAAAGCCATTTGTTCGGTTTTTCTAATTGAGAGATAATTCTTTACCTGTTTGAGCACATCTCCAATGATCTCTTGGTAAACCTCTTCAATGGCCATGCTAATGGCCTCACGTTCAAGTCCACGTAGTAATCGGCCAGAGTTCACCAAATCAAGAAATTGCCAGACTATTAAACCATTCTGTTGCTGGGTCTCTTGGGAAAGATAGTCATCTAATTCCCCACAGTTCAGCTCAATGCTCATAGCTGTACATATCTTCTTCAAGAGGTATTCCACCTGAAACAAATGAGTGACATCAGGGTAAACCAACAGCCAAACATCCCACCTCTGGAACACCTCTACATTCATGTAGACTTTCTCTTTCTAAAATGACATGGGACATGGGCAGGCTAAAATGGTATAGTGATTAAGGTGTTGAACTGGCAAGAGGGAAATTAGGTTCAAAACCACTCTCAGATACTTCACTGGGTGTCAAGCCCAAAGTAACAGTATTATCAGCATATACAGTAACCAAGAAAGGAGGATATACAAAGAGTCTTTTTAGTGGCATAAAATCAAGAAAATGGGTTAAGTTACAGAGGGTTGAAAATTAGATATGTATACCAGCCTACATTTAGAATTTGAATTAGAATTCTTTATTGGCCAATGTGACTGGAGACAAATTCACACACAAGGAATTTGTCTCCAAAGCATAAACTCTCATTGTATATACGAGCAACAAGTGATAAATCATGATCATAATCATCACAAAATACATTCATCATAAATCATAAGAGACAACACTCAGTGATAGTTATAGGATACTAAATAAGCAATCAACATAAATCATACTACAATAGTAAATAAAACAATTAGTATAAATTGTAAGATACAAGCAACAAAGTTATAGTCATAAGAAGATAAGGAAATAGGTAATAGGAAAGATGAGAAGGATAATAGTAATATAGCCCTACTAGGTAGTTTGACAGTGTTGTGGGAATTACTTGTTTAGCAGAGTGATGGCATGGGGGATTACAGATTGGAATTGGAATATTCTTTATTGGCCAAGTGTGATTGGACACACAAGGAACTTGCCCCACTTAATAGATAGCCCTCACGTAACATTCATTCAGCAACTATTTAAATATACAACTGAACATTCAACAAGGGCTGAACAAATGGCACTTACACCTGGTCCTGGAAATTACAACTGTTACAGCAGTCCTGTTGTAACATGTTTAAAATTGGGTGCATGGCAGCATGCTCACATTTACAACTATAGGTGCATTTCAACTCTCCTCACTTCTATTTCCCCTCCCCCACTCCATCTCTGCCTCTTTGGCTGCCCTGCACTTTGCCAACCATGCTGCCTTGTGCTCCACCACCTCTCCCACCCTGCTTCCCCACCACTCTACACATGGCTTCAAGTAGCCTTTGCATGGCCAGCAGATGCCTCATGAAGGGCCAGGCTGGGTGCACCTCACCAGCAGAGGGAGGAAGAAGAAGACGGTGAAGATCAGCTATGGGTGGCAGAGCTGGTGGACAGCAGAGGAAATGGAGTGTAGGGTGGCCAAAAGACAGAGATGGGGGTGAGATAGGTGAGTGGTGGGAATTGAAGAGGAGGTGAGCATGGCAGGGCAGGAAAACTGTGAGGTCCTGGCCTAACAACTGCAACTGGGACTACAGCAACTACAGAAACTGTGGTTGCTAAGCAGCACAATATTTCACCTAATCACCACATTGCTTAGTGATGGAAATTTCAGTCCCATTTAGGGAGGATAGATGAAGACTACTTGTACATTAAGGCAGGGTAAGCTATCCGATCCTCTTTCTCATAGATCCACTAATAATAGATGGACAGATGCTTCAGCTAAAAGATAAGGCTAAAATGTCCATCTGACCTTTGCCTTGCTTTGAAAATCAACTTTTTCTCTCATAGACCCCAAAAATTCTGCCATAGCCAATTTACCTCACAAAGTTTTTGTTGTATGGAAAAATGGGAGGAGTACTAGGTATACTGTCTTAAATATCTAAAAGTGGGATATAATTCTAACACATTAATGAATACATCATTCCAAAGTTTCTTCTCTGTTTAAGCTTATTTCTAACACACTATATTACTTCAGAAAAACAACCTATTTCCTTACCCATATTATTTTCCAATGGACCTATATTTATTTTCCACTGTATGCCTCCTATTCAACATCTAGCTATCTTTGCTTGCATCTCCTAGTTAGACTATCAGAATTTTCTATATACAGTGGAAGAAAGCTTATTCCAAAACTAGTTCTTCAAAATGTACTTCCTAGACAACTGAGACTGGGAGCTATGATCGTGTCACAAGTATACTATGCCATCAGCAGTGGATCCATTTCTGGTTATTACTTTAAAGCTTTTCACAGCTTAGATCCAAGTTAGCCGAAGTGCATGTCTATGTTTCTATCCATGCATTCAGACATGCTGGGTATCTTATAAATAAGCCATCGTTTGAGTGAAGAAAAGAAACCATAGTCTTTTCAGTGGCTGCCCCCAATTCATGAAACATTTTTTTCTAGAATACTGGGTGCAGAAGTCAAATGAGTGTAATCATATCATGATGCATGTTTTGAAGGAACTATAAACTACATAACATACAAATAATGTGTATACATGATGCTTTTATGTAGCTCACATTTAAGAAGTGCCTATCTGTACACTATTATTCAAACTTTGGGCACTTTAAATGCTCTCAAACAGTTCTCCAGTGGAGTCTTGGTGTCATTGGTGAACTGAAGATGCTCCGCAAAGCTAAGCTAATGGCAAAGACGAGAGAACTGGTGAGTAGACCAGTTCTTTGGAACTTCCCCAGGTAAGGAGAAGATAGATTACCCACATGTGCTCTGGGCAATTACTGCTTGTAAAGACACTACAGGGCAGCAATCTTCCATGGATTTGAGCACTGAGAGACAATAGGATTAGCAATCTTGTTTACAACAGCAGCAGAGCCTTTTAAAACACACTAAATTTGCAATGCTCACTTTTCAAACAGTTCTGCAGCTGTCCATTGTCATCTTTCCATTTGGAAAAACAAAGTTTGGCAGAGCTTTTGGATACTTGCTATTCGGTTAGCTGTGTTTTTTATACTGTGTTTCCAATCTCCATTGAACTCCTTATTAAAGGGGAAGGTGGCTTGAAGTTTCACAAATCCCACTCTTAGCAACTGCGAATTGTGTGTGTTTGGTATCTCCCCTTCTCCCCCCCACAACCCACCACAAGTATCTATTCTGCAACTGCTCACGTTTGGTTTGACTTTTGGAAATGGACAAAAAAACATAGACATGTTGTAGAAATATGTGGATGGGGTGGGGAAGCTACCAATCTAAAATAGATGCTGTTGCTTCAGGTATCTTGGAGTACATATCTTGGAGAAGGCACAGACTGAATGACATATTTTGGTTGCTGAAAGGAGAGCCCTGATAGGCTTGGTCAACTTCAGAATAGTCTTCAGGGAATGAGAAATGGAAGCAGTAATATGCAAAAGTGCCTTAAAGTTCTGGCTTTTTTTGCCACCTGTTATTAATCCTACCCACTGATTTAGAAATGTCACATGCACACTGGAAGCCAGTGCTAACAGCTAAAAAGCTAGAAAAATCCAAATCCTGCTCTTGTGGCCTTAAGAGTTTACTCAAGCACTAAGGAAGTCATGTGATTACTTCTCTTTTCCTTCTTTGAAGTGGCAGGTGCAGCCTACAACAGCAGACTACACAGATTGCACAAAGCTCCCTTTACTTTTGCCTGGGCTTCTTTTCCAGGCCAGACCATCATTGGGAGAATGATTCCATATACAGCATACAAAGGCACCACAGAGCTACATTCTTTACAATTTTCTCCCTTTCCAAATAGTACTGTACTGCTTGGGCTTTAACATCTTGCCTTATCCAGTAGATCAGTATTGTCAATTTCAACAACTTTAAGATGTATGGACTTCAACTCCCAGAACTGCCTAGCTAGCATGCTGGCTGAAGAATTCTGGGAGTTGAATCCATACATCTTAAGTTGCAGAGGTTGAGAAACACTGATAGAACAATTTCCCAAATATATACAGTATAAAAACTGAATCACAGCAGCACTGAAAGAAACCATAGAGACCCTTGGCTCAGTGCAGGACCCATCACAGCATCTCTGACAGATGACCAGGCTATGTTTAAAAGTCTCTAGTGAAGCACAATTCACCACTTCATGAGGCAGTCTGTTCCACTGGCTAACAATTCATACAGTCAGGAAATTCTTTCTAATGTCTAACAACTTGTAATTTTAAGGACTGGTTCTGGATCCAACTTCCAGGCAACACAATATAAATCCAATTCCTCTTTAGTGTGATAATATTTAAGATATTTGAAGAATGCCACAGTTTTACCTTTCCTTTTTGTAGGTTACTTATTCCTGGTCCCTTTAACTATTCTTCATAGTGTTTGCTTTCCAGACTCTTTATCATCATGATGGACGTCCTTTAAGTGTGTCACTATCCTTTCTGGACTATGTACCCACAACTGAACACAATGGGCAGTTTCTTCCCCTTCCCCTTCTCTTAACGAAAGACTTTGGCCTCTCCAATCTTGACATGCTAAGCTTGTTTCTGCACACTTTTTGTAGATCATTTTTGTTAGTTTTTTTTATTATAATAGTAAAATACAAAACTAAATTTAATGAAAGAACAGAAAATAGAAATAGAAAATAGAGAGGAGTAAAAAGTGCACAGAAAAAGGAAAGTTAAAAAAAAAGGACATAGGACAGTGGTGGCTAACCTATAGCACGGGTGCCAGAGGCGGCACTCAGAGCCCTCTCTGTGGGCACGCGCGCCGTCGCCCCAGTCCTAGGCCTTCAGCTGGGTTTTATAAACCCTTTTTGCTTTAGGCCTCCACCGCCATGTGCAAAAAAAAAAGGTTAAATCAATCAGTCAATTTCAACTTTCGCGGGGAAAAAAAAAGATCTTGCAAAGTTGGAATTGATTGATTGAACTTTTTAGTCGCACCCAGTCTGCTGTTACCACCGCAGCCAAGCCCAGCCAATGGGCCACACCCAGCCAATGGGCCACACCCACCCGGCACCCGACGATGCATAAGTGGGTTTTGGGTTGCAGTTTGGGCACTCAGTCTCTAAAAGGTTCGCCATCACTGACATAGGACATAGTCTATCCATAGAAAGAGAAATACTAAAATTGTTGATATTTTCTGATTCCATGCTTCAAAATTCTGCTTCAGTTTTTTTTATCATCAGAAGCATCTTGCAGGCCTATATATATTTCCTCTGTCTAAAAT